TCTGGAAGAGTGTGACCAAGTCCAATCTTAGCAGCAGTATATGCAAGAGGGTAACCAGTAGCTTTCGAGGCAAGAGCAGATGATCGGGAGAGACGAGCGTTGACTTCAATAACTCTGTAGTCTAATCCATCTGGTTGCAAAGCATATTGAACGTTACATTCTCCAACAACTCCCAAGTGACGCACAATTTTGATAGCAGCAGAACGAAGCATGTGATATTCTTCGTCGCTCAAAGTCTGACTAGGGGCGACGACGATAGAATCACCAGTGTGGATGCCGAGAGGGTCGAAGTTTTCCATGTTGCAGACAGTGATGCAGTTGTTACTGGCATCTCTGACAACCTCATATTCAACTTCTTTCCATCCCTTCAATGACTTTTCAACCAAAATTTGAGGGGAAAGAGTCAAAGACCTGGAAGCCATGTTGCGAAGTTCATCCTCGTTGTTTGCGAACCCAGAACCAAGACCACCAAGAGCATAGGCAGCACGGACAATGATTGGATAACCAATACCCTTTGCAGCCTCCAAAGCTTCATCCACAGTTGATACAGCGACAGATTGAGCAATTGGAATATTGATCTCACCAAGAGCCTTGGCGAAGAGATCTCTGTCCTCACTGGTCTCAAGAGTCTTGATACTGGTACCCAAAACCTTTACCCCATATCTCTCAAAAATACCCATGCGTTCCATTTGTACACCGAGATTGAGAGCAGTTTGACCACCGAAAGTAAGGAAGATACCATCTGGTCTCTCGCGCTCGATAACGTATGTGACATATTCAGGTGTAACTGGAAGATAGTAAACTTCATCGGTAAGAACGTGTGCAGTTTGGATCGTTGCAATATTTGGGTTGATGAGTACAGAAGCTACACCAGCTTCTTTCAAGGCCTTCAATGCTTGAGAACCTGGATTGAAAAAAGGGTTAGCATAATACAATACATGGCCCGGATTTAAGTTGGCACGAAGAGGATTTTTACGCCCAAAAATGACTCATTCTGCCAAAGATTGAAATCTGGGGAACCAACCTGAATAATCGAATTCTCCTGCTTGACCAATACTCAAACCACCACTTCCAATGACCAGAACCTTCTTCACGTTCACTGGATTGGCAGCTCCCTTGACAACTCCGCTGGCCAAGTATGCTTCAGCGCTGGGCGCGGTTTGTGACTGATCCCTAAGGAGTGTCGAACTGGAAAAAAGTCTAGCATATTTGCTGTTCTTCCAGACTTGAGCCGGTTGACGGTGCACAAGACCGTTAATGGAAGCTCTGGTAGTGAACGCTCTCGCAGGCAAAGCTGGAGCTTTGCACTGACGAAGGAGCGACGAGGATCGATATGCGAAGCGGTTTGCGAGCGCCATGATATCGAATTGAGGTTTCAATTAAACTTTTCAAGTAATTTTTTCCACCTGATCCGTTTTCACTTTACCCTGCCAATTGAATCAAAGTTGATTTGGCTTTTTGTGGGAAAAAGAATGTGAGTTTTGGACAATGGATATTTTTTGGTTGATAATCTACCTAGGGTAGCTTTCTGATAAGCTTTTGGATGTCGGATTGTAAATAAAGGAATAATGAACCCCTCTGTTGTAGCAGATTGAAGTTATTCCTGAAGTTTGGAAGGTTCGAAGTCTCTAAGCATTGTCGGTTAAGTTTGGGGAAATCAAAATGGTATCTTGGGGGTTTTCAAATTTGGAGATGATTTGTGTCAATGAGGGTTTTTCTCGATTCTGGTTGAAGATTCTATTCTTATATGTGATGTGAGTGTGAGTCTTTTTTGAATTGTGTGACCGGCTGGTTGGAACCAAAATTTTCTTAGCCCCGCTTTTTGATCTGCATAGACAATCCCAACCAACCAACAAAGGATATCTTGGATTTATTCCCGATTAGGTGTGAAGAAGATTGGAATTGAGCCAATCAAAATCTATTAGTCACTCAATTAATATTTCAATTTACCAATTGGTTCTTTGGCGTCATGATATGCCAAAAGAAAACCAGTGCCGGTTGGGGGACGGGAGCTACTTCATCTATTTCATCTAATTCATCTAATTCGTCTAATTCATGAACCCGGGTTATTAGTCAGACAACCTACGAAATGCCTTTACCACATGTGTGAGCGAGGGGTTTTGATCGAGGGGTTCATACCATCATGGCATCACCAGAGCGATGCCGGCGGAGGATAAAATTCTTCTTCGTGCATCATTCAGATGTGCGTGGCAGGTAGACGTGGGGTCTATGTGAATATTTTGATACATGGATCTTCAATGAGCATCACACATTTCTTCCTCATTAGCTATAATCTCGCAACCATTTCGGGAAGTGTAGATATCGAATACTACCCATGTTGATCTAAGAAAGCCACTAGTCATCGGCTGAGTTTCGCTTACTTATTAATACCTTCGAAAGGGGAGTCCGTTATAACATTAACCTCTTGCAGAAGACTCTCCCATGATTGGTCTATCTTAGAAGATTGAGACCAAATGTTTCTGGTGATACTCCAAATTGCCGATGTGTTAAGAAGAGACGATTGGGGGATGACTTTGATCTTATCGTTATCATTCAATGTCATTGAATCCATTTATTTTCCAATTCGTTTCTTACAACTATCAACCCCTGAACCGATATCCCTACATCTTGCACAACCCTGTATCTTGCACACTTTTATTTCTTTTCAAAGTGATATATTAAATTCAATTAATAATTGATTAATCATTATATTTTATTAACACTTTTTATTAAAATATAATCATATTATTTTTATTCAAAACAAAAATTGAAATATTAAGAATACCTAAAAAGTGTAATAATATTTCAATATTAAAATATTATATATTAACTTATTTGATAATATAAATAAATAAAATTATTCTTTTTTTCAATAATTTGAAATTTTGATTTATTTTTATATAGAAAATTAAAAAAGTAAGCCTTTATATTAAAAATTCGAAAAGATCTTGAATTATTATAATAAGATATTTTTAAACAATTTGTTTTTTGATATAGTTTTTGAAATATATAATTATTTTTTATATCAATATCAAAAATAAAATATTATAGAATTAAATTAAAAATTAATTTCGAATTTGGAATTCTTAAAAATATTGAAGAAATTAAAAATATTTTTTTAAATAAAAATCTTTTAAAAATAAGTTTATTATATATTTCTTTTGAAGAAAAAATATATATAATCTTGAAGTTTTAAAAAATAAATAGTATTTTCAGAAATTTATTTTATTTTATTTATTAATTTATAATAGATTTAATATTGATTTTTAAATTATTTATTATTTTTAAAATAATTTTGTTATTTTAGTATTATATTCTTTTATAATAATTAAAGATTAAATTTAACAATTTTAATTTGAAGTATAAGTTTTCTTTTTCTTTTTATAGAAAAAAGATTAAATAAATTTTAAAAATAAATTTTAAATCTTTTTTATTTTTTATTAAATTAAATAAATTTTTAAAATCTTATTTAAAACTTGATTCTTAATGTTTTTTAAATATTTAAACTTTTTTTAAAAATTGTTAATATAAAAGAATTTGAAAAAATAACTTTTAATTTTATAAATAGATTTTAATATAGTTTTTTATTATATTTTTAATATCTTATAATAATGTTATTTTAAATTGATTATTATTTTGTTTTATATTTTAAATCTCTTAGAAATTTGATTTTGTTTTATAATATTTTTGAAGCTTTTATATATTAGTTTTGAAGTTATTATAACAATTTTTGAATTTACAATCGATTTTTAATTCAATAAATAAAAGTGTGCAAGATACAGGGTTGTGCAAGATGCAGGGATATCGGTTATCACATTGTATCTACCCCACCACACTGAAAATTACAGGTTTCAATTGTTTGTGTTTGTAGTCAAGTTCTCTCATGCGGAATCAATAGCTATCTGTCAATCAATTAACAGATAATTTTGACCCGAGAATTATTAAACTAATAACTGTTTAATAAGATATATAGTTCAACGGTAATATTAAGGTTAAGATGTATTGGCATTGATTGAAGCCGTCCTAAATGGTCAGAACAGCATCCATCTAGATGGAGCATCTCCCGGTATGAAATCTACCGGGCTATATGGTAGTGACTAACCGTGGCCACAGCCCCCCCTGTGTTCGGTCAGCGTTCGAAGTCAGAGCTTAGAAACGTTTTGCTGTTACCTTCACACGTCCCATCTCCAGAGATCCGGCATGGATTAGTGCGTGCACCGAAAAGGAATGCCTGCGCATAATCTGTCTAATCACGATGGTTAGCCGTGGAGCGTGTGCCAAAAGAAGCTCTACTAATAACTCTTAGCGATGATGTCGCGGCTATGTTGCAGCTGTCAACGCCTAGTCGACTACAATTGTGTTTGTCTAGTGTCAGGGCAGTAAATCCAGGGGCTAAACTAGTCAGAGCGTTCTAATCATGGGAGAAGGGAAGGAGACAATTCTACGTTGCGACTTACTACAAAGTAGAGGGCGCTTCGGTTAGCACAGCCCATCTAATGGATATCAGCAGCCGACTTGTACGGCTATTGACGAAAATACCCAACTAAAGTCATGCAACATTTGAATCTCATTTCATTTCCGCGATAGCAATGGGAATTGAAGATTGTTTTCAAAATCCGGATGTAACAAAACTCCTCATCGCGCAATCACGGAGGAGGCTTAGGATACTAGTGGAGAAATTGATCAAGAGGATTTATAGTCCTACAAGTAGAGTCCTGGCTTAGTTCATGTGATAAACTCGACCTTGTTCTAGAGGTGGTTCAGTTGAGTAGAATGATTAATGCTCGCTTATCGAGACTTGCTCTAGATGGACTATCGGCATATATGCGGCAGTGACCGAGATAACCGATAAGGTACCCCATAAGTTACCTAAACTTACATATTCACACCTTTTCCACAAACACCTCCTCACCATAACCTTACATATTAATCATGAATCATAAATCATAATAGTAAACAGTCTTTTTCATCTGCAGTATCGAATTCATAGCCTCTTCAGAATGGATTCCTCATCAACTCCATCACCGCCAAAGCTACAGATCGCACATGTTCTCGCTGATCTTAATATCCTCAAGCAAGCAGTTCGTCAACACATTCAACCCATTGCAGCCCGCATGCCAAAGCCTTGCATTACATTCTATGGCTCCCCACATCTCCACGCGCATCCCCACACGCAATATCAATGTTTCTCTGAGTATACGTGCTAACCAACCTTGCGCGCAGCCACCGAGAGCTACTCTCTCCTTCTTACGCAGCCTCTCCACCGTATCTGCCACTATAGACGAAAGAAAAACTTCAATCCACTCACAACCAACGCCGAAATTTGATCGCCTCGGTCGACGTATACCCACACTACCTACTGTTTTTCAGTCGCCGTCTCCTCCGCTCAGGAAACACTCGTCTATGGACTCAACTGATCTCCCAGAAACTCGAGAACGTCACCTCCAAAGAAGGAAAAGTAGCGGCGTATGTTACAAACTTTACCCTGTCTCATTGAAAAGCTAACATATCATATCACAGAGGGATGAAGAATTCATGCGGGCGAAGACATTACTAGCATATTATAACAATCGACACAAGCTACAAGAAAAGGGTCAGAGGGGAATGAAAATTTCACAGGAGAGGGTCGATAAAGCGTTGAATGAACAATTGGAAAAGAGACAACAGGTGACGAGAAGAGGTTCTCTTGGAAAGCTCGGAGTACCAGATGTGAATAGTTATTTTTAATCCAAGAGTTAGATGCTCAAATATAATTTAAATCAATACTTGATTGAAAGTTCTCGAGGGTTTGAAGAATTTGGCATTTTAGGTATTGACCAAGTTCCATTTGAAAATTCAGGAACCAATGTCATCATGTATATCTGCAATATTGCATACAAAGATGTAATAAGTCTTCAATCCTCGGAACCGATCAGAGCTCCCGGAAGCTCGTCCCATCAGTGGCCGAGCGGGGTCTCCCTGGAGGGTCACAATAATAAGATCTCCACATGAATTGCTCACTTATCTGAGCTTCAAGCAACCACACCTTTTGATTTTACATCAGAAGTTTGAATTTTTGAATTTTTGAATTTTTGGATACTTCATTCAATATGTCTATAATCTTCCGCCGTGGCATTGCCACCATTTCTCCTTTCAAGAGTGCTTCAAAAGTTGTATGTATCGGGAGAAACTACGCGTACGTTTACCCCCACTCCTCTTCCCCCTCGGCCATGAATTGCTTCTTGAAATCCCTCTTACGATTCCTCAATTGGGTATCTTCAAAGTATTTAGTCTGGATGGACTAATTCGAAAATCAGAGATCATATCACGGAATTGAACAACAGCAAGCCCAAACAGCCATTCTTCTTCCTCAAGCCACCTTCCTCGATTCTCCCTCCAAATGGTGGACCTGTCATTCGACCCAAGGGTGTAGATTTGCATTATGAAGTGGAATTGGCTTTGGTCATGGGAAAGCAGGTCAAGAACCTCGAGGCAGAAAATGAGAAGGAAGCTTATGATTCGATCGAAAGTGCGTATGCTAGAATGGGTGACTCAATTTGATTTCTAACCATCGGATCACATAGGCTACGCAATGAGCATTGATATGACAGCTCGCAACGCCCAAAACGAAGCAAAGAAGAAGGGTCTCCCATGGGATATCGCAAAGGGATTCGATACCTTCCTCCCAATGAGCAACATCATTTCCAAATCACAAATTCCGGATCCTCACAATGCTACCGTGTGGCTCACAGTCAACAATGAACACAGACAGAAAGATTCTACAGAATTGATGTTATACCGAATTCCTAGAATATTGAGCGATATCTCGAAGGTGATGACTTTGGAGAAGGGAGATATTGTCTTGACTGGTACACCAAAAGGAGTTGGATCTGTGAAGCCCGGAGATGTTATGCGAGTGGGCATTAGTGTTGGGGGTAAGGAGTTGGAGGAAGGAAAGATTGAAGTTGCAGTGGAAGAGTCGACAAGTACATACCAATTCAAGGAGACTTGAGCAATTTACATAGGTTGTTTACACTAGGATACCCGACAATATGTATAAGAGTTTAGACTTCATGCGAAAGACTTTGTTATTTCATTATTCCTTTTTTTTTGCATCAATCAAGCGATATTTGGGTCCTTGATAGATCCTACCGGAGGCGCTGATTCTGCCACTGTCCCGCATTTCTTACATTTCCTCCTAGCCTCACTGTCCTTGAAGCTATTCACAGCTTCCTTGATTTGCGTGCCCAAGTCTGTGCAATGGAAAGAAGCTTCCTCCACCACCTCGCGACAGTTTGTACAATACCACCTCAACCTATCTAACGAACCCTGTGGCCTAGGTTGCTCTAGAACAATACCCACAGTATTTGCGAATCGCACAGGATTATGCGGCGTATTTGGTGGCAAGAGAAACATCTCTCCCTCCCCAATAATAATATCCCTAAATTCGCCTTCGTCTACCACTTTCAACATCATAGCTCCCTTGTACTGGTAGAACCATTCTGCGGTCTCGTTTATGTGATAGTCGGTTCGTGCATTGGGGCCTCCTACAATCTGCGGAGCTTAGGAATGTCTGAGACAGTGATGGGTGATGATGATCGTACCATAACCGTCACATCTTTATTGTACACGCAGTAGTTGTTAACGGGAGGCTTCAAGAGATGAGAGTTCTCTTCGAGCCTATCGTATCAAAGTGTTAAAACAGATTCTTTTCCTAGTCTTCGTCTTGACATTAACTTACCACTTGGGCAGGTTTAAAGGACTGGTGAGCATCTTGAATGAAGTTATCAAGGTTGTAGAATACGAAGTAGAGTGTTGCCAAGCTCAGTTCTAGGAATTCAATGATCGATTGATGAGTCTTGCCCCTCACGTCCGATGAAACCGGTTGCGACAGTATGGAATAGCTTATCTTCTGTAACGCCGATGTCCGTGCATTATTATCAGCTCTTCTTAATATTCAATGTTAAATCGAACAATCATTATTTCGAATAAAAAAAGGAGAGATGAACATATCTGTAAGCTGTTAATTTGTTATGAGCATTGTGTTACCCGAGTCTCTACACAAGTTGATATCGTTACGAGATGTTGAAAATATATATGTTTTCATCAATGTATGATTCTGTTTGAGTGATACAGGGTACCGCTTTCTGTGTCAGACAGAAGCTGTTGGCGCTTTATTATTAGCTTATTAGTGTGAGCGCATTTGAGAAGGTAAATTAGGGGACCATTGCACCATCGATTCACAACACGCTGTAATTGGTGCAATTGATCCCTAGGTAGTTACGCCAGTCTGTCTTCCAGCAACAGTGTAGATAGCGAGATATCTATATCTATATATATAGAATCAATTTAATAGTTATCCATTTCTAAATCATCACCTTCTTTCATTGAACTCTTACGGATCCTCGCGAACTCGAATCACCATCTCCTTCATTGATCGCGATCAGTTCGATAATATACAAGATACTGTAACGTTGGAATTCACAATGGATCATTCGCATATGGATCACAGCATGCATGGTATGGGGATGGATATGGGAGGCGATCAATGTACCATGAACGTGTGTCTTGACTCTCCTACACTTTCTCGATTTCTCAATCACTAATCCCAATTGCAGATGCTCTTCACCTGGGACGCCAAAAATCTCTGTATAATCTTCCGCTGGTGGCACATCCGATCCACCTTCTCCCTCCTCATTTCGCTCATTGGCGTCGTCGCCATCACCGCCGGATACGAAGGCATTCGCTCGCTGACCCGTCGCTATGAATCCTGGGTCGACAGACAACAAGGATCTATCACGCGTAAGTTTTCATACTTTCCTACTCTCATGCGCGCTTGTCCTCCCTCGACTTTCATACCGGAACAGTGGAATGAAAAGCTGAGACTATGTGTGTGAATTAAGTGGATGATGTTACTGAAAATACGCCTTTTCTCTGGGCAGGACGCAACCAAGAAGAAGTAGGTCAGAGAGCACATGTTATTAAAGCTGCGCTGTATGCTTTCCAGTATTTTTATGCGTTTATGTTGATGTAAGTATTTACTCTTTCTTTTGTGTGGAGGGTTACTAATAGAGTTTTAGGTTGCTTTTCATGACATACAATGGATGGGTTATGATTGCAGTAGGAGTTGGTGCGTTTGTAGGTTTCTTGATATTTGGAAAGAATACTTCGGCTGCGAAAGAGACGGCATGTCATTGAGAGTTTGAAAAATGGAGCTAGGAGAATGAGTGACTTGGAGGGAGATGAATTTAGTTTCGAATAGAGATAGGGCGGACGTCTTGTTGGTGAAAGGAAGGAGAACAGCAAGTCTAAGACATGGATCTTCGGGAGACAAGCGTCAAACAATCGAGTCAGGCAAGATTTGTTTTAGTTTGAGAATGCCGAATACCCAGCGTTGTTTATATGATCGCAGGCCGTTATACATGGATTTAATACGTTGGCGCAGAGCCGTTGATATATAATTACATACAGAGGGGGGATGTTATGTTTCACGTGTTTCGATCTATATTATCAATGCAACGTTGCCCAAACCTTCTGGTTGAGTTACTTGATCATCTGTGAGCAGTGCAGATATGTCTAGCATGCGATTATGGCCATTTACAATTCGTCGCCCTACAAAACTTAAGAGAAGAACGTCCCGTAAGCTTAAGTCTTTGAATGACTGACCACCAAGTTTAAAGCTCTCTTAGAGAGCACTGGACTACTCTCCTAGAAGATATATCCTATATTTATAAGGTTGACATGTTCTCGAAAGTAAACGTACTAGATAAGTGCCATTATCACATTCCACCAAAAAAACAAAATGGGTGGACCTATCACTTACACCACAAATCCAACCCCAAAAATGATAGAGAAAGAATCAACCACCTTCGCTCAAAATCCACCAAAATAACATCCAAAAAAGATTGTTGTTCAGTGTCAACCAGAGATTGTTACTCCAGGTGGGTGTCGAACCCACGACTTTCGCATAACTTCATATTTATCCACAAGGGGAAGAATATAAGAACGACACGCTAACCACTCTATAGATTCTAAATTAGCCAGATGTACCTTCATTTTTGGAATGGAGGCAGTAACTTACGCGTCACTGGAGTTTGGCATGTTTGTTTGACGGAGCCCACGTTTTCAGATATATATTAAGATAATGATCATTTTTGCAGGGGTCTAGTGGGGTCAATCAATTTAGAGGTAAGGATTGGTTGGGAGGAGGGGAAAATAGTGGGGTTGATTGGGTTGGAGTTAGTTGGATGGCAATTGTATTCATCGATTTACATGATATCTACGAGTATAATGCTTTTATGAGTAAAAATAATTTCCAACTCATTACAATATTCAACATATAATGTCAGCTTAGAATATCTCTGAATTACTGAAGGTGGCATTGTTGAGACTGTCATAAGAGTTTGTCTGCAAACTTTACATATCTTGTTAATGGTTGCTCTTTAAGTGTGCGATATGCTGAAGCGTATGAATCATTTGAGATACAAATATCATAATCGCGCTGATTCAAACGGATGTCTATCTACGAACGAAGGGATTGAAGATGCCCAGTTTTCCAGCTGCTCTCCTCGTTACTGGGCGTTCTGTGCAGAAAGATGGTTGAACTGCATCTGTACTGCACGGCCAAATTCTACTAAGAAAAGCACATCTTATAGTGTTATAATGGCTGATCGAAAATATCACAGACTATTAGGACGTCTCACAAGTCATCATTAGAGATCATTGAACAAGGTTCACAGGTTTTTGTATTAGGGTGTGTGACAATATCTGTTCTAACACGCCACAGCTTTTCAGTCAGTATCAACTCTCAATTCCAATCCTCGCTACAGCAATCGCTCTCTGACGAAGGTGTAGGGCTCTCAGGACAGCATCGTTCCTCTGGTACTGGGGTAGGTGAAACTTGTTCAAGTGTATGAAGCGAGGCCGATGGCTCTAATGTTGTTTGCATCTTGTGGTTTTCATTAACCTCAGTTCTCAAATTAAAGACGTCCCGCGTTATCACGCGGGAAGGGGATTTACTTCACCAATTCCTGAAGGCAATCCGTTTGCGATATTTTGAATAGCTACTTTAGTTGGTTTCGAAAGCTCCTTTCCTAGCATTACCACCAGCACAGGTGTTCTTAGGCAACGATATCTACCCTTGCGTACTCCCGATCGAACCTTATTGATGACTTTATGTGTACGCTTCTCATCCTTTTTATCTTTCCCAACTGGGTCAATGGGTAACTCTGGGACTGGAGAATCGCCACCAACATTTGGTTCAATAGCTGCAATAGATGGAATTTGAGCAGGACCGTCCGATTGTCCAATGATATCTTCCTTTTCCTCGGGCAATGGCGATGCTGCTATCGATCCTTCGGGCACTGCTTCGAGAGGTCTCATGAGCGATGATTCTAGGGAGCTATCACGCTTGTTCATAGACAAAAGTTTATCTACGTTCGGAATAGCACATGGACCATCCAAAACACTAGTTCTAGGACTAACTTCGAGGCAAGGACCTCGAAGATGGTCGGGCAACGCACCAAAGTCTTTAATAGCTGTACCAGTGGAAAATTGCGGCCTAGTATCGTGTGATCCATCCATATCAAACTTCTCAGTCGCTGATAAACGCTTGGTTGGTGTTGATGGCGCAGTGTTGAAATTAGAGTAGGCTTCTGTACAGGTTTGTGATTCAACTAGTGCGTCTTCAAAAATGTCGTCGTTTTCGTTCTCAATATGCTTGAGCTTGCGCCCCTCTTTATACCCCAAAGGTTTAGAGGGTCTGTATGTCTTGACTTTTGGCCTCTTACCGGGAGCAGATTGTGATCCTACCCTGGCGGAACGCTTAACCATGAGTATAAGTTGTTCATTGGTTTCAGTGATATCTAGATATTCACAAGTCAGTTCGATCGAGGACCCGGTTGGGATCAAAATTACCAATGTCAATGCCCTTCGAAGGAATAGAAGTATCGACCAACTGAGGAACAGCTTCATATTGAGTAAAAGTGGTAAGTTCCAAACCATTGGCTCTATCAATAACCTTCTTAGTCGGAGTCATCCTGACGAACTTTTGCATTCCCACCTCCTCTGAAATGCCAACTAACGTCGGTGGCACAATACGACTTTTGAGTGATCGCTCGGAAGAGCCAGATGAGAGTGGGGGATTCGATGTGTCACTCTCAGGACTAGAATCAGGAGAGGGAGTTCCAAGAGATATAGGCGGAGCTTCCAATCCGATTGATTGGCTTGTTCCGAGATTGAGCATCGAGCCTAAAGCTATTTTCGTGGAATGAGTGAGGTTTCAACTAGACAAGTTGGAATCGGAGTGCTGTCATAGAGTGTTTTGACGGAAAGGAGATTGGTATACTGTTGAGATGTTTTAGGATTAAGAATACTCTCAAATGAGTGACAAAACGAGCGGCTGCCAAAATAATGACGGTGGTGATTACAATAATGTGTTCGAATAAGAACAGTATCATTTTCCTCGATGTGACCAGGAAATGGTCTCAAATTTGCCTACCGTTCTTTCCATTAGTTGGTCGGTCGTCCTTGCCCTCTCTTCGAGTCTTTTCATAAGCATTTGAAGTTTGAACCGCTCTTTCCAATGTATAAACTCACTACCCTGTCCTAACTGCCTTGGGAGCTGAGAAGAAACCAATATCGATATAATGTACTATTGTGTTGAACGATACTTACTTCAACAACTGCACTGGTATTGACTTTTGCTTTCTTCTACTAAAACCGGTTAGGTACTTTAGAGAATACCTGTCAGTGAAATATAGTGTTAGATGATTGGCTTGAACTCGAATTTGAGCCCATGAGAAGCTGTATGACTACAAAGTATTTCTAAGTATATAATTCTGAACATTTATTACAAGGCAGAGTAACTAATTACATATGCTACAATCACCCTGGCTGGTATCCTAAAGTCTCTGTTTGTGCTAAATATGGACAAATTTCCATTAAAGAGGACTTGGGAGCTATGTGATCTAAAAATGATTCAATCTTGGAGACTACTCAACAGACGTTGTTCCGCAATTACAGGTGACAAAAGGAAAAGAAAAATAAGCACATTAGTCAATTCATGGTGTTCTCATCATCAGAAGACGTGCATGAGAAAATTGATTTAATCTATAAATATGTCATATATCCCAACAACAATATATCTTCCTGATGTTTGCTTCTTCCTTCTCCCTACCCGGGATATCCTGCGCCATATATGCATGCCATCGTTAACACCAGAGTCACCGCTCTATCAACCAAGCACCTAAAGTTCCTCATTGCCCCGTCGTTTTGTTTAATCTGGCATCCCTTCATACATGCCAATAATTCATGCTGCAAACCTCATTATCAATCCTGATTCCTACCCTATAGACTTGAATAGTCATCGAGACGCTTTGGCGATTGAAAACCTATTATCACAATCAGAGTATAAGCCTCAAAAGAACAAATAGTCCAGTGGCAGACTACTTATTCAATCTAGCCTAACTCCGCCGACCCTTTTAGCAAGACGCTCCGTAGGGCCATCGTCATCGGACGGCGACTGACGTTTTGGGGGTCGCTCACCAGTCGATTGTAAAATTGCAAGAAAATTCGCCCAGCCAGGGGTCGCAATCAATTGGTACCCATCTGCTAAATCGTGTTGAGTTGCCACACGGCAGAGAAGTGCCATCTCTTCCTACGAATGATTATGTTAGTATCATGCTTTTATGACTGTGGAAAAAGAAAAAGTTGGTACGAACTTTGCTTAAAATACCCATACTATATATAAAGCAAAGGAGATGGAAGTCAGACACAGCGAGGACGCCATCAGGAGATTGAGTGAGTTGTCCGCTCTTGTCAAGTCCCAATTGCTTTCCAACGTCCTTGAGGTCTTGTTCCTGGCCAAGGACCAAACGATTCTCAATAGTGAAAGAACTCTTGGCCATGAATGCTGGCTTAGGATCGCTAGGAAAGCCGTGAGTCAATGTGACGAGTAAATATTCTACGGGGAAAGATGGTTTAGCATTCTCTTGAACGCTTCTACCATACTCGTTAATCTTTCGGAAGAAGACCTCGGGAATGTATCGTGCGCTCATATCGGAATCATCATCTCCTTCGCTGCGAACGATCATCACTGCAGGATCGGCGGATGGCTCGACAATATCTGCTCGAACCATTTCCACGGCTGAGTTGGAGACTTGGTATGCAGATATAGCGATCCCTCCAGTTTCATCGGCTGTCACTACGCAGGTAACAAAATTCGACCCAAATTTGCCCGTATCACTCCATTTCGTTGTCTTTGGATGCTTCGCTTGTAAACGTGCTACAAATGCGATTTCCAGCGATGATAAATAGTATGAATCAATATGTCTCTTGCATAAGACAGTACCATCTCCTACGCCTGAGTCGATGAGATCTGTCCAGATGACACCGACTCTCTCCATGCCGCACAATCTCGCAATCTCGTCGATATCTTTCTCGGATTCCCATTCGTTCAATGTGACGCCATCAAGCTCGTCGACTTGTGGCGGTTCGTAAATAGCTTCCACAACAGCCTTGACTCCTAATGGCACCTCTGTGTACTCCTCGTAGCGACCATATAAGTACCCAAAACGTTGTGCACCTGTCGCCCTCCAGAACTGGAGTAAGTTTTCGATGAGGCTTGCTTGAGCGAATTCAACATGATCCACCATACGGAATGCTTGCGGCTGTAAAGTGATTGCGCTCGGCTGGCACTTCGTGCAAATACCCTCGGGCCACTGAGGATGTCCTGATGGGCAGTTCTTCTTTACACGGTAATACGGCTCCGTCAATGGTGGCATGAAAGAACTTCCTAGCTCTGGTTTGTTGGTCGCCGAGTTGATCTTTCGCAGATATGAGTGGAACGAGAGGTTCTTAATCTTCTTCTCGGCCAGGTATTCCGCATTGAATGGTTCTAACGGCATACAGTAGTCGCACATTCCTTTCTCACCGTGTCGACACATCTTTTGATCCTTCTTTCTGGGAATTTTTCCATCTTTCTTGTCTAACCTATTATCGATATCGGATTGTCTGACCAATTCCCACGGGTTCTTGATCTTTTCCGATGGCGAAGTTAGTTCTTGAGCTGGAACATCGATCGGTATTGATTCTGGTAAAACGACATGTCCATTTAAACGATTTGTTGAGGAGGCGAGTTGAGATGGAGGACCAGTCGAGGTGGAAGGGGTAGCATTGCCATTTGAAAGGCTATCCAAGAGCTTGTAATTTATGAATACCATATCACCATTCCTTCAGTTGGTCAATACAACATTCTAGAGGCTTTACATATACTCAACTTACTTGAGACCAATCTGCGAGACTTTGGCTCTTGCAATTTCTACAAGAGACTTGACCTCACCACCACTCGGCGCATTCGAAAGTGTTAATGTCTTCGGGTCGACGTTCTCTGGTAGGAGTTTTACAAGCTGTGGCATATTAGCAGGACTTCACTACAATACATACAACATATCTTAGACTAACCTTGTCACCAAGTTGGGCAAAAGTCTCATTTGCTTCAATAGTAATACGAACTGTTCCATCAGGACCACGAAATCTCAAAAGCATCTTGACCTCTTATCAAGTTTGCTTCTGAAGTTTATTCAAATAGATGAAATGTGTTCGAGGTTGAACTATTGTATTAAAGAACAAAAAACAAAAAGTTAGGTATTAAGAGACAAAATCTTTGAGGTTCTTCTTAATTCTTGAGAAGTTGGGGTTGTTTGGATTGTTAATTGTTTAAATTGAAGCTGTAAGCTCTCCGTAAATGATACCGATCCCACTATCAAGGCTAAAAGAAGACGGCGACTGTACGTCAGAATTCGGTAGCCTACGAATTATAATTATACATAGAACTACTGAGAACTGCCATGCCACTTACCTAGCTGGGTAATTCACCGCCTTTGTGATGCCAATTACAAGATTTAGATGAATTTGGTATAAATATTATAAGATATTATAAGAATTACAAGGGTGGAATATAAGAAGGTTCTTCATATTAGTTGAATCGGGTTAAATTGATATAATTGGCTGTTGATTTGTTAGCGAAGAGCTTGTCTTCTTAGTCCAAAAAAGCGACTTTAAGGATATTTGTCCTGAAGTGGCAGAATGCGAGAGAATAATGATCAATAAAGGACACACAACACATTAGAGGATATCTACTTTTTGATACCTCCAACGATCTCGTCGTCTTTGTCGAAAGACTCCAACTACCTTTCCTAGACATTGGCCTTTTTCGATTTGACACACATTCCTAAATCTCTGGGAAAGGTCATAGAGTGTTGTTTTGTGTTCGACATATTGACAGCAGCAACCATGTTCAAAGATTTCGATTACGCAACCACTCTTCGTGGTCTGATACTTCCTTTCGCATATGTCGTTGTCCTCGTCGGATCTCTGATAACATTTTCTTCATTATATAGAAAGCGCATAGCAGGTGAGTTACAATCTGGCTTTTAGATTATGCGCAAAGTTAACGGGCACTCATAGTTAAATCTGCGACTCTCGCGCCTTGGTTTTCACCACATCTGCAAAGGAACATTTACTTTTCTCTAGCTCATCTTGAGCCAGAAGAGGGAGACGAGAAAACGCCCAAAGTACCAGCGGAGCTTATTCGAGCGGCTTTATTGAGACGGGCTGTCGAGGATATCTACCGAATCATTCACATCAGAACAGCAAAGCAAGCATGCAGTACCTTATTACAGAGGGGGAGTGTTGGTGATGATTTATGGCAAAGATTTTTGAGAGCAGAGAAAGAAATGGAAGAGGAGCTTAGAGATGTGGTTATGGAGGTAAGCCGAACTTTCTCACTAGCATCTTGGTGGAGTTGAATATAATTAACCATGAATAGGCAAATGGATTGGCACCAAATTGGGGACAGACAATCTTCCAGTCCGCCAACGAAATCTACACGAATAACCAGTTCAGAAAGAGCCTCGACGATATTCAAGCCAGGACCCAATCTGAGAAGGAGTGGTGGGAGAAGCGCCGAGCCTCAATCCAGTCAGAATTCATGAAAGAGTTAGATCAAGAAGCAGAAGCCAAGGCATCCAAATTTACGTCGCCAACCAAGGCCCAAAGTGTCATGAGCGACGAGGACGCCATTCTAGTTCAAGGAGGCGGGCCAGCAGCTAGCGAACAAGGAAGCCCCAACAGGAAGAAGAAAGGAAAGAAATAAAGCGTGTTTTATTAGCTGCTGGGCACTGTACAATGGCATGAATCTTACCCGCACGAGGCGTTTTGGTGTCTGGCGTTATTGCGACTGTA